ATTATATAACGCGAAATTTTATTTGTCAAACTACCACATGTATCTATCGGCACGAATCTTCTCCAATGTTCACAATCACGTCGAATTGTTGTTCAATAACTGTTTAATTCCATTTTATCGTAGATGATCCATTGGAAACCAATAATCTGTACTACGATCCGGATGAACAGAATGTTGTTATTGAAATTGAGCAGCGTCTCGAGGAATACAGAGCTAGTATCTCTCCGATTTGGTATCCAGACGAGTTGGATCCGAGAAGTGATCCGGCTAAATTCGGTGGTTTTTGGACACCAGGGTGGTGTTGAAAAATAAACTTTCTAATGCCTGACTAATTAATCTTTTTACCACCAGTTCTCCTTTTTTCATCACAAATTCACAAAATAGTCCCGTTTATAGTCTGCGCTCTCCTTCAGCGGATTTGGACAAAATAGCCAAAGTGTAAAAAGAGTAAAAAACTGAAAAGTGACTAAAATGTTGTCTGTTTACTCCAAAATTATCGTTCATATCCAGAAATAATGACGTACATAAGAAAATCATTGCAGAATAATTTGGGCGGAAAAGTCTGGTGGTGAAAAGGTTACGGATATGTAACAATTCAAAACTTAGAGGTGAATAAAATATTAGATCTGCAAATCACCATCTTGTGTCTGTGTGTCAATATGCTATCTAGAAGGACTTACAACTAATTAACCAAAAACACGTCAAATTAGAGAATAAGTGCATGATATGTAATACTCATAGACTAATCTATTGAATCTATTATATCTATTGTGTATGATTGGCTACCCAAACCCTAACTGATATTAATCAGACCAATTAAAGAGCAGCTTGTTTATTGACAGTTTTTCTCGACGTATCAAATTCAGCCTTACATAAACTATTGAATTCTCGTTACCAGAATAGACCTAAGACAGAAATGAACGCCGAAATCTCATTGAGAGTGAGAGTCACATGACTTGTATTTTATATACACTGTAAACTGTTAAATTCTTGTTACCAGAATAGACCCTTAGACAGAAATGGCCGCCGAGATCTCGTTGAGAGTGAGAGAACCACGCGACTTGTTTTCTGCATCTTCATTGCAACCACTGTTCGCCTAGCCTGTGTACCAATGGTGTTTTCTATGATATGCATAACTTACTGTTAGGCAATATGGCTGATAGCAGCTTAACCTTGTAATCTGACAAGACACTCTTTAAAGCAGTCTGAGTGGATAACAGAATAGTCAGAATAATCATCTTTACAGTACGACATGTCTGAGAAAAAAGCTTTGAGATTTGAAAGGACTTGTATGCGCCACACATATAACGGACTGTTTTTTTTCAAATAATCTGATTGTATTTTTCCGTGATATTCTTCGGTAATCCTGGTATTTCATCTAGTCCTATAGTTTTCATGTGTCGTATATGTCGAGTATATTCCACGTAGAATGACCAATTAGATGATCTGGAACTGATAAACAGAGGTACTCCTAGAAAGTAAAAAAAAAAAAAAAAAAACTAAATAACACTGTTAGCACGACCATTGTATTTTATTTGCATGAAATGATGTAACACAAAGGAGTTGTCATCACTTAGTTCTACAGACTTGATCTAACATAACCGACTGGCGGCCATTTTGGTTTAATAGATGCTATTCAAGATATATATGACACGTCTTGACCAATCATTTCTTAGACATCACGCCACGTGACACATATGCATGAGAAGATATCTCACATTGAAATTCGAGACGGTCGAGTGGCGGTAATTTAGCCATAGATGTTGTTAAATTATGGTAACAAAATTCAGCACACAGGATTAAGTGTTGGACTTAAAACGTAAAACAAAAAATACATTCTGTTACGCAGGTGCTTTATTATATTACTTCATTATAATCGTACATTCACAACCTAACTATGTCTAGACTTGTGTATTTGTGGAGTTGGTATATGGGTCACTTGTATCAATACTTTCCATCTTTTATATGATTATTACATAATCCTTGAATAAAGATTCCCTCTACAGGCAATATATCGTCCAAACTAACTTAAGATCAAAATCACAATCACCAACGCGAACTGCGTCTCCATAGCTCATATATCACAGAATATCTAAATTCACTAGACGTAGCAACTTGGGAAAAAAGCCGTGCATGGAATTCACACTGCTGCTAGATATTCTGCTGAACTAACTGTTTTAATTATTCCCAGTTAAAGTTCTAAACTATACTCCATTGCAATAACCTCATGTTTTACACTATTGACACGAAATAAATGAAAGGCATCGTTTCAAAACAAAAAATCGACATACGTTCGGCAATCTCTTGTTCTATAAGTGATATTACGTAATCATCGTGTATATATTTCCTGAGGTCTGGTATAGTTTCAATAATGTCTTCTAAAGTGTAGACCATAAGGGACGAATTCCTAAAAACTTGGACAATGGCCTGCAACACAAAAGTAAACCACAATTACAATTATCGAGGAATTTTCCACCACGTCTCTTTCACCGTGTTCTCTTATTTCCCAACGCACGAATGTGGTACACTGCGTTTTAGAATTTTGGTTATGTACATAACCGTTCTGTCTGTCAATATTTGTATTCAATTTCACGTTTACCAAATCACGACGCCACGACCTTTGTTTGTTTTGGTTTCCGCGTGATCTTACAGTAAACGGAAATTGGTCGTTTGTATATTTCGTTCTATACTCACTTGTTCATAGTTAGGTTTTGCAATATATAGACATGTTTGTTTGTTTGCCTTCATGATATTGATAACTCCAGTAACTATCAATGGTACAACACTGTCTGCCAGACCGGGAAGATGTGCAAAGTGTGTTGTTGAGCACATGTCAAATAACGCACACCTTAAAAAAGAAAGTATAAGGAAAAGACCATTAGAAACTGTGAGGGCGGTAGATTTGAACGAAACAACAGAGAAATATTCTAAGCCAAAACGATAGAACACAATTCGAGGGATAGAAATGTGGCATTCTCGTTCTCAACGAAATCGCGGCGGCCATTTCCGTCTAATGTACATTGGCGTGTTTTTTTTTTTAATTTTGATTTTCAAGTTATTTAATGGCGATGTGTAAATTTATTTGGGGTTAACATGAACTTGTGAAGATAAAAAAAAAAAAAAAACATATTTTTTTCAGTTTTGAATAGAGGGCGGTTTTAACTTTATCACTCACCTTTCACCCGTTTTATTTCTCCAGTGCATCACGGCAAAATTCCCACCACAAATATTGTTCACAATAAGCTTTGCAATATCCCGGATGTACTTTACTCTGACCAGATACTGATCAACTAATTTATGCACTTCATTTTTGTCTTTAAAGTTCATTTCATAAGGTATGATATTAATACATGGACGCGAGGCATATATTGTCTTGAAATCAACATCTCGTATATGGACGTTTTTTTGAGACATGGTCACATTCAGTAAATTGTTGAAAGCAGGTAGATGTGCTGAGTGCGACACAAAAAATAAACGATTTTGGTGTTATTCATATAGAGTGTTTTGGATATTTTTATTTCACAATCAAATAAACTACTAGTAGTTCTAGGTACTTTAAAGGGCGGCAGTCGTCGCGCCACGTTCTGTTCGATATTGAACGTAGCGACGTATACAAGGCGTGTAAAATACATTGTTTATTTACGTGAAATTCGAACACGCGCTGCGCGACGACCACCGCGCTTTAACAGTAATCGACATTGCCATGCACGTGTGAAATTGTAAGCGTACGTGGCATGGATGGTGAAATAAAATGTTACGATTATTGACATTATATTAACAAATGTTGGTCTAATTTTACCGGCAATCTTGACACAACAAATTATAACCGACAAGAATTACATTGGGAGGACAAATCCAGTGGTATGTCAATATAAAAGAACAAAAAAATTAAAAAAACTTGTTTTCCCCTCAAATTTTGTACCGTTATACCCTGTTATTAGGCTAATAGTTCAAAATACCATGGTTTAACATATCAGTATGGACTTGTAAACTGGCCCAGTCGTAGCCATTTTATTGTTTTTTAAGATAATTCCTTTAGAGTGAGTTTGAAGAGTCTTCCGAGTTGACGCGAAATTACTACGACTGGTCTATTTTGCCGCGCCCTCTATAGTTTTCACCAAGTTTTTGTAGTGATAAATATGCTAATGAGTTGCAGCCTTATAACCTGTCAACCAATAAGAAAGGCAGCTTTTTGTCCGATCTGTTCTACGCAACTATAACTCTCGCGTGACCTGACGCTTAGAATCTTTTGCGCAAGTGCATTCCTGCTTTCCTCTTTTGGAAGTGTTCCCTCTGCTCCTGGGTTCCACAACGTAACTGCATTTCATGAATAAGTAATAGATATGCTGCAGAAATGACCAGTAATTGTAATGTCGCGTCGGACCACGATTTGAGAAAATAATATAAAATTGTCACAGCTAGGAAAGTCTAAGACCAGTGGTCCGGTGGACGCGATGGCATTGGGGAATGGAACAATATTTGAGAGGCAAAAACAAGTCTCGTAGATTCTCTATCGCAAAGATATCTAATCTGCCGTAGGTCTAAGGTTTAATGTCTATTGAAAACGAAAATGGAAGTCTGAACGAAAACGCTTTGGTGAATCTAAGAAACCAACGTTACAAAAAACAAAAAAATCAACAGTTTAAACGATTTCCAAAAAAAACTAAATCAGTCGTGTTGTCAGAAACTGCTTACGACATAAAAGGTTTAGATATTGATAATATCACAATAAATTTGCATGATGCATCTGATCAAATATAATATATACTACAATCTTACAATCGAGATACTTTAAAGAAGGATACAATTCTACAACTTCAAAGCGAAGGTGAGGACTATTCTTGTTATAGTCCACCATTCGTATGGCGTCATTTTGTAGACTCGTGTCGCATACACACGCAATCTCTTCTGGTGAGATAACTGGAATAAGTTGACGAAGACGGTCTAGGTCGAATGTGTCCTCAAAACGGATTGGAGACGATTTGTGCTGCGTCTTGTGTCCCTCAATGGGCATCGCCACGGTCCCCATGTTGAGATGAATAGCCAAGGCTACGGCCCATCTAATTTTCTTGTATGCAGTGCTCGGACCTCTCCCTAGACTGTACTGTGGGATGACGTAGGTGACGTTAGCTTTGTGGTGTGTGTTACAGGGAGGCAGCCTAACATTGTTGTTCTCTGCACGAGGACTCGCCGAACTTGGCCGAATACTGTCGAAGCTTTCACGCATTTCAAAGGTACTATGATTGACGTACTAGAGTCAGAAACGAAACATATATTAATTCTACATCGTTTTTAGTAATGCTGTTTAATACATAATCAGAACAGTGAGGGAAAACATATTTTTCCCTTGCTAGTTGATATACTTTATTGACAATGTATTATCTTTACGTTTCTGAGATGTATTTTATATCAGTATTCCAGTAAATGACACAGCTAACATATATTTGCATAACATTTGCATAAATCTAGTCATGTGACACAAATAATTGCATAACATATGCGATAAAATAATAAAAACGTTATTTTCAGTTTTCAAACGCAAGCAAAAAACAATTTATAATAGTAAGTTAAGAAAGCAGCAAAGAAACTGACAAATCTTTCTACACATTGATATTTGAGCAGCAATCAGGCCAACGATTGGTTGCAATTTATTTTATTTAGAAATAATGAATATGCAAATTACCTTGAATGAAACCGGATCTGAATCTACTTTCATATGCGATATTGAATAGTTGACATTCCCTATATAGTGCGACACATTCGCTTGAATATTTTTTAAATTCCGGTTATTCACAATCGATTCCTTTCTTAGGCCATATATCACCGTAATCGGTTCACTCAAAACATACATCCATATACAGGTGACAATGGTGAACGTGAAGGAAATCACAAAAACTGCCAGCGAGAAAAACATCGTACGTTTCCTAACAATGTGCAAAAAATAGTAAAAACATATTTCAACTAATTCAGTCAAAATACTTAACATTTTTGAATATCATGAAACTAAATCAAAACGATGTTAGAAGATGTAATGAACACGACCTGGATTGTTCTGCAGAAAACTTACCGATAACAGGCAACCATTTTGATTTGCATTATTTAAGTAAGATAAGGGGGCCAATCTTCAGCATACATTGGTACATACTCACTCACACGTACATCACATGACGTATAACCTGAAATGAAATCTGGGATATTATCAAAGAATATATATTGCAATGTATCAACATAGTGTTAGTTAATAGACATACTAGTATAGGAAAAGGTATCTGTTATTAGTTTAACGGGGAATAGTGGAAAGATATTCTAGTAGCATAAACAAGTCTCGTGACTCTCGTTCTAAACGAGATCTGTGCGAAAATAATTAGTTTTTGTATATTTTTCTAAGTGTCTCTTTACCTCTACAGTGTACGTTCCTATAAGATTCATTTTACATTCAATTTAATGGAGATGAGATTTAAAACAAATCTTAACAGACCGAGAGTATCTCCCTCTTTATCAGGCGTGCTAAACTTCAGTTTCCCACGACTCACACAAATTAAAACAATCAACTAATTCATATAATAATTCTAAGACTCCAATAATACTTTATCTATGATTTCGGAGTGTAACTTTGATTATACCTTGGATGCAAATGGCCGCCGAGATCTCGTTGAGATCGAGAGAACCACGAGATTTGTTGTCATTCAAACAGTGTTTCATTTACTTCCGTTCCGTGACTCTCGTTCTCAACGAGATCTCTGCGTCCATTTGCGTTTAAGATCTATTATAGCATTGTACGACTAGCAAGGCACAACGACTGACAAAAAACGATGGATTTTGTGTCATAAATGTGACGTCATAATAATTTCATAATAATCATGTTCTTATCATCTGTCATAATTTCATTTCAAGGCTGAGTATTACGGAAATAGTCTGTAAAACTAAAGCATGACATTATTTACTATTAATCACCTTGAATATGCACAAATAATTTCATTTTTTTGACGGTACTAATTCATTGTGTCAACACAGGTGGCGCTATTCAGCACAGACCTGCGTATTATGACGCATAACTAGCCTCCGAAGGCTAAATATCCATCCGCCACCATTTTACTCTTCCGAGGAACTATATACAAGAATTTTCTTGTTTTGAACACATTCTCGCCCGATTTTTTAGCAAGATTTAATCTTTAATGAGTTGTTCAATTAAAATATTCATCAGAATGTCTTATTTTATTAACATTAAAATGCATGTAATTTGGCATTGACACGCAGA